ATCTGGGATTTGAATTTTTTCCATTTTTTTCAGATGTTCCCTTAAAGTTAAATTCTATCTTATTTAGAATTTTATCTGAATCTGTTATAGATTTAGTATATTTAAGAATATTGTCTTCTATTTCTGCTATTTCACATGCATGGTCACTGTGATTTTCCAAATCTGAGGGTATAATATCTTTACAAAAAAGTCGATCTGCTAAGTTATCTGATACTCATATTTGATCTATTCTGCTTTTGATTTCTTGGGTACTGTTTCTTTCAAGAAAAATTTAGTGTTGTTTTTTCTGCATATTTTCATTTTCTGTGATATTTTTATATGTTCTAAAAGTATCTTTAAACCTGTTATTATCTAAAAATCTCAATATTTGACTTTCAGGTTTATCTGATCTATTTCTTTCATTAATTTTAATATTAAATAATTAATTTGTTAGTGAGTGTAACCATTATACATATTTCAATATTAAGACAAAATAAAATTATTGCTTACTTTAAAAATTATACAAAAATATCAATAAAAACTTAATGCAATGCATAAAAAAACAGAATACAATTTACTTAAAATTATTTAGTAAATTTTTAAAAACATCATACTCTTCAACTAAAAAAAAATATTCTCTAGAAATGCCCAAGTATTTATGAACATTTGGGCTAATGAATTTATCAAGAATGAATAGGTTGAGAATGCTGAGCTAACCATTCTCAAATATTTTTTTGGTTTTTTAAATGAGTGCAACAAGGATGATTAGAAATGGTATGATCAAACTTTACCAAAGGAATTTTAAAACTATCTTTTATTATCCATTCATTCAAGAGGAATATACCTTCCAAGAATTTCTCTACTTTCAAAATAGTAATCATATTTGATGCTTTTCGCATGTTAAAAATAATTTTTACAAACCTATCTCTAGATCTCTAACAAGTAATTAATTTATATGGTCAACACGATCATACAAACTAAATGAAACTTCTTGTAAGCATTTCCATTAGTATTTCCTTCTACATTAATGACAAATAATAATAGTTAAAATCTCATAAAATTATTTTATTTTACAGCAATGCACCAATCCAATGAGTAACTTTTGAACATCAAGTTATTTCTTTTCTGACCTTCTATCAAATACTTTTGCAATTCCAACTATAAAAAAGAGTCATTCAAATTTCTCATCCTTTCTATAGAAATTGCTTCCTTTTAAAAAAAAATTGTACTTTTTTTTTGCTCAAGAAAAATATAATTTTGTCTAAATCAAGAAATCAGATTAATAATTAAAATATTTTATTAAATCTTCAAGCCTTCTGGATTCTTTTTTTTTATATTAAACATAGTCAAATCTTACCCCAGGAGTAACTTTATTAAATTAGACATATACAATAACATGATACACTGCAGATTGAATGCAAATATAATTGACAACCTGGTTCTCCAAATAAGAAAAAGAATAAAAGCTAATTTTAAATGAAATCTATTGGTAAAAATAAATGCAATACAATAAAATGATAACACCATATAGAAGCGCTTACAGTAGCTTCAATTCTAATCTAATTTCTTAAGGTTCATGTCATGTTCTCAATTTTTTTATATTTTAATATAGATTTTCAAAGTTTTATTCTTGTTGCTAAAAATGGATGTAGATATTTATTGCACTATAAACTGCAATGCAAATTTGATTTTCAAGTCTTCTTTTATAATTGCATCATCTTTATTTTTTCATTAAATGAAGTTTATTTGAAGTACTCATATTTTTTATTCTATAAAAATCTCAATATTTTTTATAAAAATGAATTTCATAATATATGCTTTTTATATCAGGGAATGCTAAACTAATTATTATTAACCAAATATTGGCAACTCTTATCAGTAGAATTAACAATAGTTTGTAAATACTTTTATTTTCTATAAGGAATTTGTTAATTTGTGCAATACTTTGAAGTCTCTATTTGTATAATAAGATTTTTCTTGAAAAATCTATTATAGATATTAATTTATATCATATGTTTATTAAATTTAATAGATCTATCTCATTACCTCATCAAATATTTATGGAATAATGAAATCAGCTCATCTATAAATTTTTTCAATGAAAAAAATTTAATTTTCAAAATTTCTATACCAATAGGTCATTTATGTAATTAATATTTTATCATTTGTAAATATTCTTGAGTAGCTTTTATGTTTCTGCTACATGATCTCTCATTTAAGTTTCTGAGTAGTATTTTATCAGATATATATTTTTAGATATTACTTGCAAATTGTCAACAAATAATAAATATATTAATAATTCTATAAATAAGTTGAGGTGAGGTATTCTTTTATTTTTAATATTTCAATTTAAATTTATGCTTAATTAATTTATATTTTATAAAATAATAATTAAATATTAAATGTATATAATGTATAAAAATGTTCACTTCTTTTTCAAATGTATTTTGAAGCATGATTAATATTATATTATACTAAAATATTATTAAATACCATGATTTTTAGTAATAGTAATTTGTATATATGTTCTTGGTAATTGGATAAATATAAACATTTTACTACCCCTTTCCTATTTATATTGCTACTTGATATTTTCTTATTTATTATTTTTTTTGGTTTATTTTTGATAGAACATTATCAAGAATACTGTATGTCACTGCAACTCTTGACAACACCAGCAGATATGAAGAATAAAATAATTGACTACTAAAATACTAAAAAACCTTTCAAAATCATGTATAGTGTGTAATAAACTGAAGTTGTTGGCTTTTTATTTTGTGCCTAAAATCACAATGGGAAATTATTAACATTAAATAATTTATGTTACTTAATAGAATGTTCTTTTTTCAGATACTATTATTTCAGTAAAGGAGGCCCTATCCATTTTTTTTGTATTCTATACTTTATCATATTATTATTAATTTTTAAAGTGTATCTAATGCGATTGAGAATAATTTGAATAAATTTTTATATTCTTTTTCAGTATTATTATTATTATATTTTCGTAGGAACAAACTGCCAACCATGAGCTATTATCAAGCATTTATTTTCAGAATAACTAAATATATAGTAAACAACTGTATAAACTATAATTATTTCATAATATTTATTAATTTATTAATTTATTTATCTTTATTTAATTTATTAATTTGTTTATCTTTATTTAATTTATTAATTTGTTTATCTTAATCAATTTATTAATTCGTTATAACCTTTTTTTTCAAGAAAATTAATTTTAATTTTAGTTATTTTTTTTTTTTAAAAAAAAGATCCATACCAAATTATAGATATGAAAATTCTTGTAAATGACAAGTCACAAGATAAAGCCCAATTCTGTAATAATTATTCAATAGCGCTTTTAATGCCATCGATACGACATTATGTTCGCAGTTAAGTTTCTTGGCAATTTAAAATGACGATGAAATAAAATTCAATTTCTTTTTACGTTTTTTTATGCCGTTTGTTTTAGATTAACGTTGCTTAATTAATTCTTTTGGCTTTTATTCTTTTCTACTTTAGAGGACGTCATTAAATTATACTTATATTCAATCCTTTAGTATTATGTTTGTGTATATTTTAAAGTTACATAGGTCAGTTCCATTTGTTTAATTAAAAAAATTATTTAATAATAAATATATGATAAAATAAAATAAAATTATTAATAAAAACAAAATTATTTGGAGCCCAAATTTATGTAACATGAGCTAAAAGCAATTACCTTTCTTTTTTGTAACTAATATTTTTAATCTTTGTTATTTTATTAATTTGTTCAATTGTGACAAAAATAAAAAAATAACAATAATTTAATCTTTAAATGCTGTATCAAGAATTAGTTGATATTACCCCTAAAATTGTGTTTCGCTTACAATGTTTATAGTAAGTAGAGGGTAAAGATAATAAATTAAATGGATCTTTTTATAGCATTGTTTTTGGATTTCATGCAATGTATTAACGACTGAAAGTTAAGAGATCACTAATCAATTTGTTTCTTTGATGATCACCTATTCGTTTTCGTATATAAAGTTTCCTTTTATCATAGGTATAAATAAAATAAATTTTTATTTCATGCATTGTGGTATTTAATCTTATACATAAGAAGTTGAACTCGTAAATTTATTATAGTTACACCAGCTAAAAACGTAAAAAATACATGTTCAAAGTAAAGCAAAGTGAATTGTGATGAAAAAAAAAATAGAAAAATCAAAGAAGAGGTCCAAAATACTTATTAGTCATATGGGACGATTTTCAGAATGTCATTTCTATCCAATCACAATTAAAGAACGGCGCGTTGCGATTGGAATACATACTGCTTTTTTAATAATTAATTTCCGCTTTTTGCTCTTCACAGAATTACGGAGTAATTTCAAAATGTTGAAAAAGCGGAAAAGCGGACAAGAGTTTTTAAAAAAATAGTATTTCGAAGAAAGATCAAATCCCTTAAATATCTTCAATACTTTATTATGCTAACCACGATTGGTGTTTAAGTAAAAATATTCGGCTCTAGACTTTACATATAATAATATTTTTTTACAATACATTGTTATGTAAACTATTCAATTAAACAACCTATTAAACAGATGTCAAATCTGTCAACTGATCACAAAACCCATCTCTAATTCTATTGGTCACTCCAAACTCCGGAAAAACTTGATGTATATTGTTTCTTTACTAATAAAATAAGCGAATTATTGTAAAAAAAAATAAATAAAGAAGTATTCTAATTAGTAGTTAAAAGCGTATTGTCTAGATATTTATAAACTTAGAAGATTATACGAAAAGTTGTGTAACAGATTTTCAGTTTTTTCTTTAAAAAAGCAATCTAGGTATCTTATTTTCATATTTACCTATTTCTGTTTCACTAATCTGCATGCTATATTTTTGTCATCATTTTGGTGACCATTGTATCCATAATATGTAAGAGTAGTTACACACACACTGAATCATAAAATGACTCAATTCTTTTTTCAAATTTCGAATTAAATTCTCTTTCTTTCTTAAAATTTCTATCTCTTAGACAAAAAATGGCAACTAAAATTTCCACAGAGATATTAACTATAATTTTAAGAAATGTTCAATCATCACGTTTAACTCAAGATTTATATCCATCATTATTAGTTAATCGAATCTGGTGTAAAGTTACTATACCGTTACTTTGGGAATTAACGTTTGGCAAAAAATGTTATAAGGATGATAAGAGGAAGTTGAAAAAGAAAGCATTATGTATTCGAACTTATATATCATGTATGGATACTCAAGCTAGAACTTTGCTTACTCAAAATGGATTTAATTTATCTTCTTCACCACCTCAAGCTATTTTTGATTATCCATCATTCACTCATAAATTTATTATCAAAAATTTAGTTTATTTTATTTCTATATATTCACAACAAATCATTGGTCTAGATCAAGATAATAATAATAGTAATAATGAGATTTTCGTCAACAAATCGAGAATATTATTTCGTGAGATATGTAAATTAATAATAGATCGTTGCACATTTTTGGAATATTTTAAACTACATGAAAAATTTTCTAAAAAAAATCGTAATTATGGTGATTTAATTACTACAATTCTCGATTTACCCGGTGCGCCAAAAGTTTTTAAAAAATTAGAAAGTTTTACTGCGATAATAAGAAATAATGAACAGATTCGTCCATTATATGAATCATTAGCATTAATTTGTGATAATATTTTAAATATGAATTTGAATTTTAACTTAAATTCATATTATCAAATGCCATTTTTAGTAAAATTTATTAATGTTCAAAAACGTTTAGAAAATATAACAATTTATGCTAGTAACCTAGATTGCAATTCATTATTATGGGCAATAATTAGTCAAAAAGAAACATTAAAGAGTCTTTATTTAATGTCAGCAAATTTTTCTCATTTCAAGGAGAAATCATCACCAATTGGACAATTCACTTCGCTTCAAAAACTTTATATTGAAAATTGTGATGGATTGGATAATTCGGATTGTTTATTCTTGGCTTCATCATTTACTCAATTGAATAGTTTTCATTATTTTCATACAAGAAATCAATTTAATGGGTATGCTCAAGAATTTATTATAAAAATTCTCGAAACAGCCAGTACAAATTTAAGAAATATTTGTCTAGTTTTGCATCGCAAAATTACTTTTGGTAAATTTTCAACAATTATGAATTATTGTACAAAGATTGTCGAATTAGCTTTATATAATTTAAATCCTGAACAAGTAATAGCAATATTTAATAATAATTTTAATGAATTGAGAAAATTTTCATTTGGTTGTGGAGGAGATGGATTTGATGCTAATGAATTATTATGTAAAATGGCCGAGAATATACCAAAATCGCTTGAAACTATTAAAATTATAATGTTTTATGAAAATCAATGGATATTCAGTGCTGATAGTTTAAGAAAATTTTTTGAAGGATGGCATCATAAAGGAGGAAGAAATAAAAGGATTATTGTAAAACGCCCAAAAAAAGCGCGACTATTTACATTAAGTGATGAAAATATTAAAGTTATTGAAGAATATGGGGTTCAATTTGATATAGAATAACATTTAAATAATATCTTATTTGTTTCTTTAATATTGAGTTATATTTAGCTTTTATTTTGTGATTCATTGTCTCATTTGTTATTTGTTAAGATAATTGAAGATATTATTGTATGTAATAAGTAATATAGTTATTATTATATATCCTAAATTATTAAAATATATTGATTTTATTGTTTAATGTTAAATTATTTTAATTTTTATGTTGATTTTTAATTTTAAACCGTTAATTAAAATAATAGTTTATTAATTTACTTTAATTAAGTAATTTATTTATATTTGGAGGAATCATCTGGAACGACGGAAACAGAGAAATCAATAATTAATGAATTGTTTGTTAATGGAAAAATAAAAAATTCACATAAAATTTGATGTTAAAGTGCTTCAGTGAAGTGTTGCGTTGATTTCTTGTTCATTGCTCTTCTTTTAATTTAATTTCGATTCCCACAATAATTAAATAGAACAAATAAATAAAATATAGACATTGATATCTTTCATATTCTCTAATTTCTATTTTCTTCTCATCTGTAAATATTAGTAATCTGTGATTACCACTTCATAATAATTGAAGTCGAATATATTAATGAAGTATAAATTCTTTAATTAAATAACAAATGATTATGCATGGACCCGATTGTAAAATTTATTATTTAACTTATCATTTACAAAGAATAAAGAATTATAAAAGGATAATTTCCACTATTCAGCTATTTTTAATTATTTTATTATTTATTATTAGAAGAATATGAGAATTTATAAAAATTCCGTGATGCACATACACAATTCCAGGCTCTTAAGATAATTTCTTTTATCATATTTTCATTATATTCCATTGTCATTAGATATATTTATTTGTCTTCGGTTTTATTTTCTTTATTTCATATAACATAGTAAAATGTCTAATAATTAATAATGCATTATTTTATTCTTGGTAGAATAAAAATAAAAATAATAATTTTCGATTTATTTGTATTTTTAATAATTCGCAAATAATAAATGATTTATAATTTATAATTATGAAAAAAAGAATACAACGTTATTTAATCATTCTAAGTGCTTCCTAGTAAATTTTTTTTTTGAAAAACTCTTCAACTGAAATTAAAAATTCATGAGAAACATCTGAAAAGTAACCTTTGGACTAATAAATTCACCTGAACGAATTAGTTTAGGATATGTTAAACCAATCATGCAAAAAAAAAAATTTTTTTCAGTTTTTAAAAAGCCTCTTAAATGTAAAACGGGGCCAAAACCCAACCGTGAATGCTTTGGATAATTAACAATGTCGCAATTAAAATTATTCACGACGAACCTACTTAAAATCGCGAAATTAAAATGCCATCATCCGGATCTTTTTCAAATGAAAAAAAAAATAAAAGAATGATATTTTAAATTTATAAAATAAGTTGCATGTGGTGGAATAATAGCCTATTGGGTATTTTTCATAACAAAGAGCTCAGGGGGTATAACGATTTGAATGTCATTTCCATTCAATGTTTTTTGCCATAACGAATGTACAAAAATATATAAGTGCGAAAAGGTGGGTAATTAAAAAGATAAGTTCGAATACAATGGAGAAGCAAATAGGGAACTCGTATGTTAGTCAGCTAAAACACTTTCACCAAATTTTTTTAAAAAATATTAAAGAAATATCTAATGATAGATAAGAGAGTCCTGAAACTTAATCCATGTCACGATTGTTGAAATGAAATTATACCATTCTACCCTTCAAATATTTTTGTGTTCTCCTGTGCCCCGAAAAACATATTATCCAGAGAACAATAAAGTATTCTTAATGTCCAATCTGCTCCGCAAGTATGAAATTATTATTAGGGAGGGTATGAACTCTCTTATGCTGAATACCATATGATAGCAAAGAAGAAATGACACAAGAAAAGCTTCTCAGCAATCAAGCATCACGAGGAGGAGTTAGAATGTACTTTATCGAGGGTAATTATTTTTGGCTGGGTTGGCTAAGCAAGATAACATGGAAGGTCTTATAATAAGTGAAGGTAAATCTTAATAGCAATACCCCAAATGAAAAAGTGCTACATATTAGATTCTGCTACATCGCTCCTCAAATTAGCTCCCGGCAATAGCAGTCCACTAAAAAAGTTAAAAAAGTGATAAGAAGAAGGAATCAAATAAGAAGAAATTTACCGAGGAGTTATCTATCGAAACGTACAGATAATTTTCACGATTTATATCTTGAAATCAATAAGGCTAAAGAGTAGAGCTTAAGTGTAAATCAAGTTGTGATTAAATGTTTACTACGATTCCAGAAAGTGCTTGAGGATAGATATGATTATTATAAAAAATAATCCAAAACGTACAGAATTAATAAAGAAGTAAAGCAACAACTCCCTGGCTCAGTTAGTAAGACGTCACTACGGAAGAGAAAAGGAAGAATTATGATTTATTCAGTAAAATTGGGGAGGTTAGGATCCAATTTTTTACGGCTTCGTCATTTAAATCTCATTAGGTTCTCCCGCAGTATAATCGCGTAAAAGCTTTGGCTGAAGGTAAGGTAACTAAGGTAACTTATGAAATTCTTGTAGCTCAACATCATGCTATTATTATAAATTAATCAATTAATTGGTTTATTCTCAGCGTTAAAAAAACGTAAAATAACGTGACGTATTAAAATGAAGGTGATTTTTTACCTCATCAGCATTTAAATCTACATTATAACCAACAAATTTATTATTTCTATTTATTAATATGTTGAAAATAAATAACATGATCAATGAATAAATATACCAATAATAAATAATAAACAGTAGTATCATCCTCTTTAATAATGTCTCTAATTAAATCACCTTCAAATATTTATTCATTACATCAGCTAATCATTTAAACAATTAAATTAAATTGGAGTTAAATTAAATTAGAATGAACAAGGTATAGTTAAGGAATTAATAAATACCTGCATCATAGTCAAAAAGAGCACGAGCCCAAAGGTTTTCATCTGACTACGAAAATTTTATTTAAAAAGTATGTGTTTATATAACTGATACATATCTGAGTTGCTCCTTCTTCTTGTAAGCGATAAGTTCCTCTTTTGCCTATAATAATATCAAATATTTTAATATAATAAAAAAATTTATGGAAAATACAATAAATACAGTATAAAAAAATTTTCTTTGTTGACGTTCTAATTTTGTCTTTCATGTTCTTCTTCCAGCACATTCTCTTTCATTTTCTTCCTCCATTGTTGATGTCGTTCATATGCGTCTCGCTCTCTTGCTTGTTGTTCTCGTCTGCATGATGGGTAATGATGTACACATCAATTTTTATAAAAAGTTAATTTTTATAGAAAAGGAAATGTAAATATCTTGTTATTCGAAAACTGAATTAACCTCATCGGTTAAACAAAAGGAAGAAATTATCGTTATTCTTATATAAAATATATAAAAATTCAAATAATGTTCCATTTGATCAATTAAAAATTTTTTGAAATCGTGATGAATCATGGCTTTCGTAAAATTGTAATTATTACGTAATTATGACATTTTTATTCTGTAATTTTTTTTTATAACGCGCACACACACAACGCAATGGCTATCAACGCGGTGTAATTTCAGAACATCAAAGCAGAATGTATTTTAAAGATAAAGAAAATGAATTAAAGTTCATTTCCTTTAGGCAATGGATTTTTAACAACATTCGCGTAGGATTTATTTTGATTAGTTCTTAGTCAGCCAAACTTCCATAGTAGTTTGGCTTGTACCATTTGTATAGATTACCAAAACGTTCAATTTGTCTTTGTTTATAATTCTTAATGACATTACAATTATTCGTTTTATGTGAATCTGATTCAAAGTTTAAACACAAAGCTGATGATGTTGAACCCATTTTAAGCTCAATTTCTTCCATGAGTTTATCCCAGTTTTTAATCTGTTTCAAAGGAGATAATCACATAATTCTTTCTTTTGTATCCTTGAGTGATATATATAGTACAGCCTTTGATGACTTTAACATCAAATGCAGTATACCTCTAGGTAAGAAGTTTTGCTGCCCATTTTTCTTGGTTATTTAATTATTCATAACTAGTATTACACAGAGTAATACGTAGATAATCCATATCGATCATATTTCAGATAATTTCCCAATGCTGCTTGTATCTTCAAACTCCACGTTAGCTAACTTCCACATGTTTAGTCATAATTGTTTCACTTTTTCAAATTGATTCACATGTGGTAGTAAGTTATTTTTCACACGTTTAAAGGAATATCTCAAACTTTTCTATTGACATAACTTATGAGGTAATATCTCAGCCACATCCCGCAAGAAGCATTATTCCCTAGATTAATTAATGAATTTGAAAAATAATAAATGGATTTATTAACCGGAGTTTTTCTTGACATAAAAATTGAAAATCAATAATTCAAAAAAAAATATATGCATTTCGAAACAATAGTATTTACCTATCGGATATAATTGATGAACAAAATTTTGCGATAATTAAATAAATTGAATGAATTTTTTGAAATAGGAATAAAATTCAAGTAGGATAATAAATATTTTTTTTTTATTTTCGTTTCGGATTTTTTTTTTTTTGGTAAAAGGATCATTTGCTCCTTTGACGATCAACTTTTGTTTTTAAATAATTCATAATAACTTTTCATCCGGTTATAGATTGTATTTTATAATTAGAAAATTGTGGGCTTAAATTAAATAATAAATGATAAGTTTAACCATTCCAATTCTTTATGTACCAACATTCTTAAAAGAATTTAATCACAAAAAAGATGTTCTTATTTCTTTGTGATATTATTGTAATTATTGAAGCTACAAAAAAAAAGTAGATAATAATTTTTATTTTCATTTAAGCATTTACTAGGTAGTTATTTAAAAATAAATATATGATAAAATAAAAAACATAAAATTTGGATTCATCACCATTTCGTTTTTATAAAATCCTTTTTTCTTTCAAAAACAAAAATTATTTGGAAGTACCTCAAATTTGTGTTATATGAGCTAATATCAAGTAATTTTTTTTGTAA